TAGCTATACTCTTTGTGGTATTATTTGGTGGTTTCTCTAGGCTATTCAGTATGCATCCTTAGCTTATCACAATCTACTTACTTAATATTGTACCATTTTCTATATGATATAAAAACCTAAAACAGTACAATTCCATTCTTCCTAACTTTTATACTAGAACTGCATGTTCAACAGAACCCACCAAACCATATTATTATTTTTGTTTTAAACAGTTGTCTTTCAAAGATGTTAAAAACAAAAAGTGGTCTTTTCACTTATCTAAATATTTATCAGTGTTCTTTATTACTTCATGTAGATTTATGTTGCTAGCTAGTGTAATTTCTCTGTTGCTTGAAAATTTTTCTTCAGCATAATGCAAATGTGCCATAATAAATTCTCTAAGCTTTCTTTTATCTAAAAATATACTAAATTCACCCTCGTTTTTGGAGGATATTGTCTCTAGGTAGATTTCAAGGCTGATGGGGTTTTTTCTTTTAAAACTTTGCATATGTTGTGCCATTGTTTTCTGGCTTCCATTGTTTCTATTGAGAAGTCAGCTGTTATTCATCATTGTTCCCCTGTAGGTATGTGTCCTTTCCCTCTCACCGCTTTTAAGATGTTCTCATTATCTTTGGTTTTCAGCAGTTTACCTGTGATGTATCTAGATGTGCTCTTTGGTTTTCAGCAGTGTAGCTGTGATGTACCTAGATGTGCTCTTCTTTATCCGTATCCTGCTTGGTGCAGTGAACATCTGGATCTGTAAATCCATATCTGTCATCAAATTTCAAACATTTTTGGCCATTATTTCTTCATATATTTTTTCTGCTCCATTCTTTCTCTCCTCTCTCCTTGGGATTCAATGAAATGTAGGTTAGGCTATTTGATATTGTCTCACAGGATGCCAAAGGTCTATTCTTTTTCAAATTTCTTCTGTTCATCAGTTTGGATAATTTCTATTGATTTGCCTTCAAGCCCTGGCTAGGCTCATTTCAGATACTGTAACTTTTAGTTTTATTTTCTTATTTTTAAAAATATTGGTTGGCCATGGTGGCTCACACCTGTAATCCCAGCACTTTGGGAGGCCAAGGCAGGTTGATCACCTGAGCTCAGGAATTCGAGACCAGCCTGGCCAACATGGTGAAACCCTGTCTCTACTAAAAATACAAAAATTAGCCAGGCATGGTGCCACACACCTGTAATCTTAGCTACTTGGGAGGCTGAGGCAGGAGAATCACTTGAACCTGGGAGGCAGAGGTTTCAGTGAGCCAAGATTACACCACTGCACTCCAGCCTGGGCAACAGAGGAAGACTCCATTTCAAAAGAAAAACTTACTAGTTTTCATTTATCTACTGAGATATCCTATTGTTACACTCATTACAACCATTTTTTCTTTAAATTAGCAGTTGGCAATTTTTTTCTGAAAGGGTCAGAGAGTAAATATTTTAGGCTACCTGGCCATGTTACTCCACTGCAACTACTCAACTCTGCCATTATAGCAGAAAAGCAGCCATAGACAAAATGTAAATAAATGGGTGTGTCTTTCTTCCAATAAAACTTTATTTATAAAAATAAACCACTGACCATGGTGGCTCACTCCTGTAATCCTAGCACTTTGGGAGGCCGAGGCAGGTGAATCACCTGAGGTCAGGAGTTCAAGACCAGCCTGGCCAACGTGGCGAAACCTCATGTCTACTAAAAACACAAAAATTAGCCGGACATGTTGGCGCATGCCTGTAATCCCAGCTACTTGGGAGGCTGAGGTAGGAGAATCGCTTGAACCCAGAGGGCAGAGGTTGCAGTGAGCCAAGATTGCACCATTGCACTCCAGCCTGGGCAACAAGAGCAAAACTCTGTCTCAAAAATAAATAAATAAATAAATAAATGGCAGCAAATCTGCAGGTTGTAGTTTACTGACCTCTGCTTTAAGACATTGAGCATACTTATTACGACTGTTTTAAACTCCTTTTGTGCTAATTCCAAAATCTGGGTCAATTTAGGGGTCTGATTTTTTTTTTTTTTTTTGACAGACTCTCACTCGCTCTATAACCCAGGCTGGGGTGCTTGGCTCACTGCAACCTCCACCTCCCAGGCTCCAGCAATTCTCCTGCCTCAGCCTCCTGAGGACCTGGGACTACAGGCATGCGCCGGCCACACTCGGCTGATTTTTTGTATTTTTAGTAGAGATGGGGTTTCACCATGTTGGCCAGACTGGTCTCTAACTCCTGACCTCAGGTGATCTGCCTGCCTTGTCCCCACAAAGTGCTGGGATTACAGGCATGAGCCACCGCACCCAGTCAATCTTACGGGTCTGTTTCTATTGAGCACTTTTTTGAGTAGGTCAAGTAGGTCACATTTTCCTGTTTCTTCACATGTCTAGATTTTCTTTTAACTTGCTGGATATTATGAACTATACATTATAAAGGGTCTGGATTATCTTGTGGTCCTTTAAAAGGTAATGCATTTTGCTCTGACAGGCAGGTAAATGACTAGCACATCCTCTTGTCTATTAGGCTTGGTTTTAATCTTTGTAAGGGCGGGTCTATTTCGGTTTTGAAATTCATCCTAGGGATGTCTCTTTCTCTAGAGCAGGACTGGAAAACTACAACCCACAGCTCAGACACCTGTTTTTATAAATAAAACTTAGTATAACTATTCTTCTCTTAGCCCTCACAATGGGCGATCAGGGCTAAGTCTCTCTAAGTTCTGCCCTGTTCAGGTTCAGACCAGCTCTTGGCTAAGAACCTGGGGTGGACCCCTATACATACTTTTTGAGCACCCTTCATGTAGTGCCCTCTCCAGAGCCCCACCCCACAAATCCCAGTCATGTCATGTCAGTGAGCCCACCACTCTGCTTGGGCTCCACTTGGGTGCTGCCTGGGAGGAAAGCACCCCAGGAAGGAAGCCAGGGCAACCGTGGGCGCCTCTCGTGTGTTTCCCTCCTCCCAAATCATGTAGCCCTGAGCTGCCTGTTGTTCAGCATCTGAAAGCACTTGCTGCATACATTTGGGCTGGTTTCACAGCTGTTTCAGCAGAAACGTAAGTTTTGGTCCCAGTTACTCTGTGATGGCTGGAAGCAGAAGTCTTCACTGGTTTTTCTGATTATTATCCATGTCTGGCTTTAGCAACAGATTTATCTTCTGATACATAAAATATTGGTTGGTGTTGATCTATAATAAGTGCCAACAAATGGTACCAGTGATATGAGAAGTACAGAGAGACAATCTTTTGCGGGAGTTAAAGGTTAAAGTAAACGTCAGTCCAGTCTCTATCTGAATTACCATTCTCTTTTTCTGGACAGTGAAAAAAAGGAAAGGAACAGAACTACCATCTATTCCACATCTGTTATTTTCTGGGCTTTCATCAAGTTACCTTAGTATATTATTTGCTGTAATCATTAAATCAATAAAATAATTATTATTACACACAAAACTGAGCCTTAGAGAAGTAAAACAATAAAACTATGTAGCTTGTAAACTGCTGGAGCTAGAAGTTAGAAATCCATCTTTCTCCCTTCCCACCATGCTGCTGCTCTTGCCTTATCATGAGATTACCAGAATTTAGTGAGCACTTACGCTGCCTGTTCCACCGTAATTTCTAGCCCATGGAGCCCATTTAAATTGCTTTTGCTTAGTCCTTTGTTGGTTAGAGATGGGCCAAGCTGTCTGATTTCTCCCTACCTTCAGTTCCTTTTGTTTTGTTTCGTTTTGTTTTCTTTTTGGAGACAGAGTCTCGCTGTGTCACCTAGGCTGGAGTGCAGTGGCGTGATCTCGACTCACTGCAACCTCCGCCTCCTGGGTTCAAGCGATTCTCCTGCCTCAGCCTCTCAGCCTCCCGAGTAAGTGGGACCACAGGCACATGCCACCACACCTGGCTAATTGTTTTGTATTTTTAGTAGAGACTGTGGTTTTCACCAGGCTGGCCAGGCTGGTTTCAAACTGCCGATCTCATGTGATCTACCCTTGGCCTCCTAAAGTGCTGGGATTACAGGCATGAGCCACTGCGCCCAGCCTCACTACCTTCAGTTCTTAGGGGTGTCAGGAGAGTCCTGAGTCATTGGATGGGGATGGTCTTCTAGATGACAAGATGCTGGGCAGAAACTAAGTGCATAGAGAAGCTTCACTCAACCTGAACGACTAATACACAACCGGCCAACCCACAGCCATGAGTACAGCCAGCAGCCCTGATCAGCCTCCGTGTGGGCTTCCATCCATGGAGAGGCCACAGACTCCTGCTTTCCTGCCTCTTCCTGTCCCTGTCATTTCCCCGCCCACTTCCTTTATCCAGCATGTGATATTTCCCTCCAAAATCTAATCTCTTAAAGCAGAGAAACTGTTGCAAATGGAATGGAATTATTTTTCTGATTAGACCTGTGCCACTTTTCCTTGTAACAGTTTAATGTTTGGCCACTGCTTCTGGTGTCTTCAGTGAGATTCCAGGGTCCATTTTTCAGACTGAGGGAGGGTAGGGTCTTCATAACATAAGAAGGTATTTGGTGAACTCAGAGGTGAGTAGGTGGGTGAGAAACACACATTTCCTATTTGCCAGACATTGAGTGAAGTTCTTTCTGTATATTTCTCAAAAAATGGCACAGAGTCATTAATTATAGAAAGTCTAACAATTTGTATATCCTGAAAAGTATTTTGCACAGACACATTTTGCCCCTCAATTAAATGTACGTAACTTTGCTCCTTCCTTTCTTCGCTTTTCTTGGCCCTCCTCTCTCCGTACTTGCTTGACATGAGGCATATTCAGAATAAAACCTCATTAATTTCTACTCATCTAGTTTGAAATACATTGTGCTTTGGAGAGGAGCTTGGTTGTAGCTAACTTTTGAGCCAGCTCTGATACAAAGGTTTCTGAAGAACAATGGTAGCAGCCTTAGTTCCTTTCTCACAAAAAGTGGGGCATACCATCTTTTAAATAAAGTGAAGAAATATGTGATTAAGTTATTATAGGATTAAATATGTGAGTACTTGCCCGGGGCCTCTTCAGCTCCTAATAGTCTTCTTTGGCTTTGCAGAGCTCTGTGATGATGACCCGCCAAAAATCACACACGCCACATTCAAAGCCGTGGCCTACAAGGAAGGAACCATGTTGAACTGTGAATGCAAGAGAGGTTTCCGCAGAATAAAAAGCGGGTCACCCTATATGCTCTGTACAGGAAACTCTAGCCACTCGTCCTGGGACAACCAATGTCAATGCACAAGCTCTGGTAAGTGTCCCTTCTGTAACTACCAAGAAAAAGAGAACTGCAGCAAAGAGTGAGACAGAGCCCAGCTTTGGTTCACTCAGCCCTGTAGACACAAATGGGCCAGTTCAGTCTACAGGATAACTAATTTTAGTGGTTCCTGAAATAGTCATTCACTAAACACAATTTTGTTTTTGAGACAGAGTCTCACTCTGTTGCCCAGGCTGGAGTACAATGGCTTGTAATCTCAGCTCACTGCAACTTCCGCCTCCCAGGTTCAAGTGATTCTCCTGCCTCAGCCTCCTGAGTAGCTGGGGTTATAGGCTCCTGCCAGCACGCCTGGCTAATTTTCGCATTGTAACAGAGATGGGGTTTCACCACGTTGTCCAGGCTGGTCCTGAACTCCTAACCTCAAGTAATTCGCTCGCCTCAGCCTCCCAAAGTGCTGGGATTACAGGCATAAGTCACCCTGCCGGCCACACAATTCTATTTTTATTTTTGAGACAGTCTCGCTCTGTCACCCAGGCTGGAGTGCAGTGGTGCAATCTCAGCTCACTGCAACCTCCACCTCCTGAGTTCAAGTGATTCCTGTGCCTCAGCTGCCCGAGTACCTGGGAGTACAGGTGTGCACCACCATGCCTGGCTAATTTTTTTATTTTTAGCAAAGATAGGGTTTTACCATATTTGCCAGGCTGGTCTCAAACTCCTGGCCTCAAGTGATTCTCCTGCCTAGGCCTTATAGGCTCACATCACCATGCATGGCTAATATTTTGTATTTCTTGTTAGCGATGGGGTTTCCCCATGTTGTCCAGGCTGGCCTTAAACTCCTGGGCTCAAGCAATCCTCCTGCCTCAGCCTCCCAAAGTGCTGGGATTATAGGTGTGAGCCACCACGCCTGACCTAGACGCCCTCTTTTATCCTGAGCCAGAATTCTGATCACCCCCCTCAATGGGGCACTCAGACTCAACTCCTTTGCCAAACTCTTCACAATAGACAGGACTGTTCTAGAAGTTTCTTTGTCATTGTGTTAAGGTGGTGTCTCTAACTTTAAGCATTCTGAGCAGTCTTAGGGAGCAAAGGATCAGTGCGTTGTGGAGTGAGACCACTCCTGCTGCCGTCAAACAACTCAAAAACAATTGATAGCAAGCAAGGAGTCCCTTTTGGTGAGAAACACACACATACACACATAACATACATGACATACACAGACACACATACACACGTTCAAATACATGTCGTGGGCATTGCCATATGCACATGAATACCCAGAGGCCGGTGCTGGGACGGGTGCGAGCAGGCCCCACCCAAGGGAGGGCGTGCTCTGGTTTCATCTTTGTAAGCTCAGCAGCTGGACACCGCCAGACACATCGTGGGCACTGGACAGGTGTGCTTCTCAAGTGAATGAATACATGAACGGTGTTTTCTATTAAGCATTTGTGGAATTATCTGCATCATTCCATCTATATTTTTTAGCTGCTCGGAACACAACAAAACAAGTGACACCTCAACCTGAAGAACAGAAAGAAAGAAAAACCACAGAAATGCAAAGTCAAATGCAGCTGGCAGACCAAGTGAGCCTTCCAGGTGAGAGATGAATCTGCCCTCCAGCTAACTCCTGAGAGCCCACCCTTCTCTTGCAGGCGGATGATGTGTACCCAAAGGAAGAAAGTCTGCCCTGCCTTCTGTAAACACAGGCATGTTGCTCCCTCCTCCCAGGACATCACTGCAGACAAGAGCTAGTGCAGAGCTGCCCAAAGGCTGTTTGCTCAGCAACTCGAGCCAATCTGACGGCAGCCAATCCAGGTCTGGGCTCACTCCCTGGTTTGGTAACTGGCCAAATAGAATTCAACCCAAATTCAACTCAACTTACAATCATCTGTTGGGTCTGTGTGCCAGGCCCTGCTGACAGGAGACACAAACAAGAGTGTGACAACGATCCCCGCCCTCCAGGAAACGCTCTGCGTCTTCCCCAAAAGCACAAAACAACGCACCCCCAAAAAATTATTCACTTCCCCATATTTCTTCCAGGGCAAGGTTGTAAAATGGACATGCCACACTTGTGAGTCTCAAAAGTTCCAGACGCATGTGTCCTGGCCAGCAGTCTGTGCATGAGTGAGCACTGCAGCTGTTCCTTGCCTGCCCTCAGCTTTCCCATGACTGAATGGTGGTTCACTCATGGTGTCAAGAAAATGGGCCAGGTGCAGTGGCTTATGCCCGTAATGCCAGCACTGTGGGAGTCTGAGGCGGGCAGATCACTTGAGGTCACAAGTTCAAGACCAGCCTGGCCAACATGGTAAAACCCTGTCTCTACAATCATACAAAAATTGGCCGGGCATGGTGGAGGGCACCTGTAGTCCCAGTTACTCAGGAGGCCAAGGCACGAGAATTGCTTGAAATCAGGAGGCGGAGGTTGCAGTGAGCGGAGATTGCACCACTGCACTCCAGCCTGGGTGACAGAGGAAGACTCTGTCCCCCCTCAAAAAACAAAACAAAAAAGAAAAAAGAAAAACAGAACCTGCTAGGAAGAATTGAGCTTTCTAAGGTCAGGGGCTGACCTTAGGAGACTTCAGAGCCCTTTGCTAATTTTACAGCCTTACAAAGAACTGTATCAGGCACCATCCCATTTGAGCCTGGCAATACAATGAGTCAGGACCAGGAAGGGTTACTTCAATTTACTGAAGAAACTGAGATGCAGAAAAGATCAAAAGATTTGGCTAAGCTCACATAGTAGGGCTGGAATCAGACCTCAGGTCTCCCACATTAGATGAGAAAACTTTCTCCTGATTACTTATTTTAAAAGAGTTTGAATTTATAGCTTCCATTATTTTATTTTTTTAAACAGACTAATCTAGGGGCACAGTTGCAATACGACGTTCTTACTCCTTCCCCCTCCGACTTTGTCCTGGACTGGTGTTTCCAAGCACATTTGTTTGTTTTGTTCTTCTTCCCCCATATCACCCTGCACAGTTATTGGAAAGCTTCAAAGAGGCCAATGCTTAGTGTCCTTTCTCCAAGGCTGGCTCTGCCTGAGGGATGTTTCAAAGATTGTCTCAGTTTGGGTGTTTTCATTGGAAAGAAGCAAATCCAATTCCAACATGTTCAGACAGTTATGAACTGTATTGGTTGTCAAACAACCTTTTATCCTGAGACCAAAACACAAGTTCAGTCGTGATGTTCAACGTGCCACACGGCAGGAGCCAGCCTGGGACAGGACCACCCAGCTTCCTGCTGGGCCAGAGGCTCTGTTGGGTATGCAGGGTTGGGGACAGTCTGGAAGTTCAGAGCACATGTGCAGTTTCACAGGCTAAGGTTAGAGGGCACATACAATTCCATATGTCCAGGTTGGGGGCTGTGGGTGGGGAATCCAGAGATTTAATCAGAGTAAGACATGGTCTCAGGCCGCAGGTCAGTCAGACCTGGGATGTAGTTGGGTGAGTGGAAAGTTCTGGGAATGGGAAATTTTGGGAAGCCTTGAAAGGGCACATGTGTGTCAAGCTTCAGTGTGGCTTGATCAGAGATGGTGCTCCATTTCTCTGAGGTTCCCTCAACCCGTCCCTCCTCCTCCTGGCTTTGGGGTTGCCCCCAGTCCTTCCGCCATCATCCCAAGATGTCCACCCGCCGCCCCCAAGAATGTGCTTCCTCACTTGTCCAGCAGAAATCCAAGGTGGTCTTCATGCTCCATTGGCCCAAATAGGCTTGAGCCTGCCCTTGTGTCTCAGCAGAGACTGCCCCGCCCACTCCTGTCCACTGTCAGCCCCTGCACTGTCTTCCAAGAGCTGGCTGTGGTGTTCCTCTCTCGGGGCAGCACCAACCGGAATGAATCGCTCATTCCTCTGTGTCCCCATCGCCAGTGTCTGCTATCCTTCACATGCCTTTCTTACACAATCCACTGTCCGCCCCTTGCAGGAGTGACAGGGTCTTCATGCCTTCCTACGGGGCCTAGCGAACTTGCCCACGCTCAGATGTTCTCAACATATATTGGTTGAATGAAAGGATGAGCAAGCAGTCAAAAGAGTAAGAATCAAGGTCCAGTCCCTAGCAAGAGGCAACCTGGACTCACTCACAGTGCTGTCCCCAACTGCCTTCAGAGCATTCCTTCCACCTTCCAGGTCACTGCAGGGAACCTCCACCGTGGGAAAATGAAGCCACAGAAAGAATTTATCATTTCGTGGTGGGGCAGACGGTTTACTACCAGTGCGTCCAGGGCTACAGGGCTCTACACAGAGGTCCTGCTGAGAGCGTCTGCAAAATGACCCACGGGAAGACAAGGTGGACCCAGCCCCAGCTCATATGCACAGGTGAAACGGAGCCCAGTCAGTTTCCAGGTATGGTGGCTCCCTTCTGGGATCCACAGTGTTGCTTTTCTCCATCAGGCTGACCAGGGTGGAATCCCTGACCTCTCCTGCTGTGTGTCCTTAGACAAGCCCCTTGATGTCCCTGGGCTTCCCTTTTTTCTCATTCTGAAAAAAATTTTTTTTTTAAATAGACCAGATGGACTCCAAGGGCTCCTTCAATGAAGGTTCCCCTGTGCCCTGAGTGGGTAGAAAGGTTGGAGACAGAAGAGAAGGAAAGCTCTCTCCTAAGCACCCTAGATGCTGCCTCATAGTTGGTCCCGAGTCCACTACTTCTCTAAGCCACTGAGGCCTCCTCTGGCTCCAAGGGCAAGTCCAGTTTCCCACTCACGCATTTTTCCTCTTACTGGTGATCGTGTAAATGCATGATTTGAACAGTACTCTGCAGTCAGCATGCTCCTTGCCCATGTGCCATTCCCCAGCGGAGCTTGGATAAATCAACACAAAATGTGCAGTGTCGGGACTTACTCAGTGCACATGCACACACACACATGCATGCAAACGCTCAGCCCACCAATGTTGAGGTCTCCTGCTATCTTCCTTCTGAAATCTTATTAGTATCGCGACAATCAAAAGTGACTTACATGCAGGCTGGGTGCGGTGGCTCATGCTTGTAATCCCAGCACTTTGGGAGGCCAAGGCGGGCAGATCATTTTAGGTCGGGAGTTCGAGACCAGCCTGGCCAACATGGTGAAACCCCATCTCTACTAAAAATATAAAAATTATCTGGGTGTGGTGTTGGGCACCTGTAATCCCAGCTACTCAGGAGGCTGAGGCAGGAGAATCACTTGAACCCAGGGGGTGGAGGTTGCAGTGAGCTGAGATCACACCACTCCACTCCAGCCTGGGGCAACAGCAAAACTCTGTCTCAAAAAAAAAAACACAAAAAACAAAAAACAAAAAACGACTTACATTTAACCACAAGTATTCCTGGTTTTCTTGCTCACTGCACTTCTCATACTCCATGTCCTTCTCTTGGGTTCCCTGGGGAGGCTGTTTTGTTCCTGTAGCAACCTCCCTGGGCCACCCTGACATCCAGGGAATGCCTGCCGCTTCCTTGGAAGAGGGTGAGAGGCAGGGCAGAGCCAGGGCTGCTACCCCTCAGGAGGGCTGGAGAACCTGGCACAGAAGCAGCTGTCCCTTAGTGCATCTCTGCTCCATCCAATGGTTCAGTGACATTTGTATTATTATGACCTGTTTCCAAGTCACAGATGGAAACCCAGACTGAGTAGGGAGGCTGGGGAGAAAGCATTGCTCAGAGATGTGGGGACAGCCAGGGTCAGAGTTAGAATTCAGCCTCGTCTGCTCTGCTGAGGCCACTTCACAGCTTCCCAGTGCCCCTGGTGTGGAACCATGTGGGGTGGCATCCCCGGCGAAGTGCCCACACCAGGATTCATGCCTCCTCAGGCATATCTGGGGCCGGCTGCCCAGGGCAGGCGGGGTGGGAGTGAGGCCCTGACGCCTGTCTTTAGCTCCACCAGCATCACTCACTCTCTCCCCCAGGTGAAGAAGAGCCCCAGGCAAGCCCCGACGGCCTTCCTGAGAGTGAGACTTCCCGCCTCGTCACAACAACAGGTGCGGGAGAAGACAGACGCTGGACCCCAGAGGCCTAGTCCAAAAGCGCAGGGGTGGCCAGGAGCCAGGCTCAGAGAGATGGGCGGAGGTGACCTGTAGGGGAGAAGCCCACAGCAGCCTCCTCTCCCTCTCAGCAGGGAAAGGGCCTCAGCGACCTGCAGGCCCCAAAGCCAGTGTCAGAAAGAGAGAACCCAGGACCAGGACCAGGCACGGTCCCCAGGCAGAGATGGAACTCTGTCCTCACCACCACCACGTGTCTCCTACCAGCCTCTGAGCTTCTCATCCACAGAGACGCCCTGACTGCCTTTAGCCTCGTGCCATCCTAAAGTCACAATAGCAGGAGTGTCTCTATCTCTTTTTCACAGATTTTGAAATACAGACAGAAGTGGCTGCAACCATGGAAACGTTCATATTTACAACAGAGTACCAGGTAGCAGGTGAGTGGGGCACTGGCTTTGTGGACAAAATGTACACCAGGCTGAGATATGGACAGGTTGACTGGTTGGTAGGTTAGTTGGTTGGTTGGTAGGTTGATAGGTAGGTTGGTTAGTTGATTGGCAAGTTGGTTTGTAGGTTGGGAGGTTAATTGGTTAGTTGGTTGGTTGGTTGGCAGGTTGGTTTGTATGTTGGTGGATTAGTTGGTTGGTTGGTTGGTAGGTTGGTAGATTGGCAGATTGGTTGGTTAGTTGGTTGGTAGTTTGGTGGGTTAGTTGGTTGGTAGTTTGGTTGGTAAGTTGATAGGTTGGTTGGTAGGGTGGTAGGTTGGTAGTTTGTTGGTTAACTGGTTGGTTGATTGGTTAGTGAGTTGGTTGGTAGATAGTTTGGTAGATTGGTTGGTTGGTTAGTTGGTTGGTAGGTTAGTTGGTTGGTTGGTAGGTTGGTTAGTTGGTTGGTAGGTTGGTTAGTTGGTTAGTTGATTGGTAGGTTGGTTGGTTGACTGAAAAGACCCCTTCCTTACACTGCAGAATGTGTGAGTGAAAAGCTAATCCAGATGCTGACAGCTCAGAATCCCATGAACCAGTTACAGGATGCTGTGAGCGAAATCTCAAGTCAGTCACATCAGCCCCTCTCAAGCTGATCTGGAAGGGCTGTACCCTGAGCCTCTGTCAGGGGTCAACAGTGGGAGGAAGGAGCCATGTAGCCAGGCAGAGAGGACAGGCTTCCAGAAACATGGCCGTCGTTTCCTGGTAGGAGGGAAAAACACACTCTGAGGTTGCATCTGCCTAGAAAGTAAATAAATGTCAGGCTCCAGAACCTCAGCAGAGCAGTGTCCGGAAAACCTGAACCCTTTCAGGAGACATTAATGTGCTTCTCATCATCTGCATATTTTAACATTTCTTTTACCAGGCGCTCTCGGTGTCCTTAAACGAGGCCTGGCCTCTGAGCCTTTCTGAGGGGCTTGTGTGAGAGAAGGGTGCATACTGAGGGGAAGCTCCCTCCACCCTCACCCTGTTCTCCCCACCCTGTTCCTCAGGACTCCTAGGAAATCCCACGGGGAGGGACCTGCGTCCTGAGACAGGGAAGAGAGGCTGCAGCCTCCACCTTGCTCTTTGGGGATGTCCTCAGCCTGCCCTGTGGGCCTGGCTCCTGCTGCCCCCATGCCAAGCCCAGGGCCCTTTGCTGAACTCCCTCTCTCTATTGACAGTGGCCGGCTGTGTTTTCCTGCTGATCAGCGTCCTCCTGCTGAGTGGGCTCACCTGGCAGCGGAGACAGTAAGTGCGGTATCACCAAGGCAGCACGCGGTCAGATCAACGTCCTGCACCCAGCCCTGCCCACCCTGCCCCATGCTCGCTCTAATCACCTGCAGTTCAGGGACTGGCAAAAGGAGAGGCCAATCCATGCCTCCAAAAGAGTCAGTAAAAAAGAATTAAAGCACCGCCAGGTGCGGCGGCTCACGCTGGTAATCACAACACTTTGGGAGGCCAAGGCTGAGTGGATCACCTGAGGTCAGGAGTTTGAGACAAGCCTGGCCAACGTCTCTACTAAAAATACAAAAAATTAGTTGGGCATGGTGGCAGGTATCTGTAATCCCAGCTACTCAGGAGGCTGAGGCAGGAAGATCGCTTGAACCTAGGAGGCAGAGGTTGCAGTGAACAGAGATCGCACCACTGCACTCCAGCCTGGGTGACAGAGCAAGACTCTGTCTCAAAAAACAAACAAACAAACAAAAAAAATTAAAGCACCAGGGAAACGGGAAGGCAAAGGAGCCTCACATTCATTGAGCACCTACTATACACCAGGCTTGATGCTTGTTTTATAAATATTATTGAAATCTACCTTCTCAGAAACCTTTGGAATAGCTGTGGCCTAGAGAGATGCAACAGCTTGAAGAAGGTGGCACAGCAGAGGCCAGCACTGCAACTTGAATCTAGAGCCCATGGTTTTCCCACCCAGCCCCTACCTATAGAGGACCCAGAGCAGCATCTGTGCTGAGCTTTGCCTGTCCTGTGCTCCCCACCCTCCCTTCTGCAGAGGCTCACACCAGTATCCCCTTGACCAGGAATGTAACCCATGTGTGGTCTTTTTGCATTAACTCAGATTTCCAACCCTGGATGCCTCTTAGAACATCCAGGAGAGAGTCTTCTAAAATACCAGTGAGTGGCAAGGTCCGAGTAAATGCCACAGGAAAAGGAAGGCGGTCCAAAGGGCTGTGCTTCTCCTGTGGCTCAGTGTTATTCATAGCTGTGACATCTTTTAAGAGAGGTTTACAAGAGGGAAATCATGTCACCAAAACCATTGTGACCCACTTTGAATTTGGGGGGAATCTTCATTTGCAACAATAGAAGAACAAATTTGTTGCAATAAGAAATATTTTTGTAGCTTATGTAGGTTGTTCAGCCAAAACAGCATAATAATTTAAAAAGTTAAAAGATAGGCCAGGTGCGGTGGCTCACGCCTGTAATCCCAGCACTTTGGGAGGCTGAGGCAGGTGGTTATCTGAGGTCAGGAGTTCGGGACCAGCCTGGACAACATGGTGAAACCCTGTCTCTACTAAAAAATACAAAATTAGCCGGCATGGTGTTGAGCACATGTAATCCCAGCTACTTGTGAGGCTGAGACTGGAGAATTGCTTGAACCCAGGAGGCAGAGGTTGCAGTGAGCCAAGATCATGCCACTGCACTCCAGCCTGGGCAAAAAGAGCGAAACTCTGTCTCAAAAGGAAAAAAAAAAGGTAAAAGGTATCAATGACTGGGCTCCAATCAGAATCTCTGGGGGTGAACCCAAGACATCAGTACCTATTTTTAATTGAGATCAAATTCATCATTTAACTGTCATAAAGTATACAGTTTATTGGTGTCTTAGCCCATTTTGTGCTGCTGTAACAGAATGCCTGATACTGGGTAGCTTATAAAGAACAGAGATTTATTTCTTACCATTTTGGAGGCTGGGAAGTCTGAGGTCCAGGGGCCCCCATGTGTCAAAGGCCTTTGTGCTATGTCATCCTGTGGCAGAAGGCAGAAGGGCAAGAGAGTGAGAGAGAGCAGGAGAGGCTGAACTCAGCTTTTATCACAAACCCACTCCTGCAATAACAACATTAATCCATTCATGAGGCAGAGCCCTCGTGACCTGATCACCTCTTCAAGATCTCATCTGTCAGCATTGCTGGATTAGGGATTAAGTTTCCAACACATGAGCTCTGGAGGGTGTATTCAAACCCCAGTAAGTGGTATTTAGTATATTTGCAATGTTGTGCAGCCATCCCCACTGATTCCAGAATACTTCCGTCATTCCCAAGAGAAGCCCCGCACTGCCAAGTTCCGCATTCTCCCCAGCCCCGGGAAACCACTACTCTGTGTTCCGTCTCTATGTATTTGCCTATTCTGGACATTTGGTGTGAATGGAATCATGTGGCCTTTTATGTCTGGGATAGTTGTACGTTTTAAAGCCCCTCGGATGTATCTAATACATATGCATCCAGGTTTGACAACCCTAGACTAGGCCATTGGTTTTCAAACTTGAATTTGCACCAGAATCATCTGTAGGAACATAAAGAAATGATAAATGTTTGAGATGATGGATATGCTAAATACCATGATCTGATTGCTGCACATTGCAGGTATCAAAGCATCCCTACATACCCCATAAATATGTGTAACTATTGTGTGTCAACTTAAAAACGTTTGTTTAAAGAATCATCTGGAGGGCTCGTTAAAGCACAGATTGCTGGGTTTCACCCGTGGAGTCTCTGTTGCAGTCGTCTTCTCTTGCTTAGGTCTGGGAATCTGCATTTCTATCAGGTTCCCACGTGATACTGATGCTGCGGTTCCAGGGAGCAGACTCTGAGGACCACCGCACTAGGATAACAGCATTAAGAATCAGGGAAGCTGGCCAGACTCACGCTTGTAATCCCAGCACTTTGGGAGGCCGAGGCAGGTGGATTACTTGAGGTCAGGAGTTCGAGACCAGCCTGGCCAACATGGAGAAACCCCGTCTCTACTAAAAGTACAAAAATTAGCTGGGCGTGGTGGTGTCGGCCTATAATCGCAGCTACTCGGGAGGCTGAGGCAGGAGAATCACTTGAACCCGGGAGGCAGAGGTTGCAGTGAGCCGAGTTCGTGCCACTGTACTCCACCCTGGGTGACAGAGCAAGACTCTGTTTTTTTTAAAAAAGAAAAAAAAAAGATAAAGAAAAAGTAAACTCTAGAAACTCACTCTGTATCTCTCTTGATTATCCAGGGCCTCCCTGACCCCTGCCAGCATACATTCTGGCCAACCCTAATACAAACTCCACAGTAAGACCCTGAGAAAATGCAGATCCACACCCCCAAAACCGAAGCGCTTAGCCCAGCCAGAGAGAAAAATAAAATATCTCTTCCTTTCTTATATGGGTCATCAGGCCCATAATATACCCTAACTTTCCTCCTGGGATATAACAGTATAAATTACTGCAATGCAAACGATAAGCCTCCAGGGTTATTGTAGCAGGAATGATCCATGTAACTGACAGTCTACCAGTTTCTCTAAGGGGTCAGCGGATTCCCAAGGTGTCATTTTAGGATTCCAGGAGGGGAAGGATGTGACATGGCTGACGTGTTGTAGGTGTACTCAGTACTTGCATCCTCTCCTTCCTCAGGCTGAACACTTGACAAGCCTTAACACCTTGCAAGGATTTTTTTTCATTTGTTAGTTTGAAGACCAAAAGCCTTCGGGCCCAGAGGACAAAGCTATTTGGAAGTAGGAATGGTTCAGTGTTGATGTGGTGAAACAAAGAACTGTGTGAACCTATGTGAGTTCCCACAAAGTCTCCCAGAATTACAGTCTTTAGGGAGACTCAAACATACATCTAGAAATGACTCCTCTAGTCAGTTTGTCCAAAATCCTTCCTAGAATCTGCTATCAACTCGTGGTGCCCTCTTGTGGCAACAGAAAAGCTGCATTTGAATTACCGAAAGATCACTGTAGTCTAGCCAAAGAGAGTTTTGTTTGGGGAAATATTTTTTGTTTGTTCTGGGCAATGACCAGGAGTCCGTGACGTGCTAGAGAAGGCTCACGGTGGCTTGTGAGAGGCAGCGGTTAAATTTTCAGGACTTCTGCAAACTGGTTTTTAAGCATAGCCATTATGTAAAACCAAAGCATTTAGGCTGGGAGCAGTAGCTCCTGCCTGTAATCCCTGCACTTTGGGAGACTAAAGTGAGAGGCTCGCTTGAGACCAGCCTGGGCAACAAAGCGAGACCTTCTGTCTACAAAAACATTTTAAAATTAGCTGGGCGCGGTGGCACATACCTGTAGTCCCAGCTACTGGTAAGGGTGAGGTGAGAGAATCCCTTGAATCCAGGAGTGCGAGGTTGCAGTGAGCTGTGATCACGCCACTGCACTTCAGCTTCACTGACAGATTGAGACGCTGTCTCAAAACAATAAAAAATAAAATAAAATAAAGTATTTAAATTTACAATTCAATAAACTACATGAAAATCAAAGACAAGAATTACTTACAACTAATCACTTCCTAATTATTTGCCACATTTTACTGTTATCTTTGTTCCCTGGGTGGTTTACATCGATTGTGTCTGCATGGTGGAAATACCGTTTGACGGTGGCTACTACGCAGCTCTTTCCAATCACGTGGTCAGTGATGTCACATTGCCAGCTGGAAGCTGGGTGTGGAGGGAGGATTTACACCAGGGAAGATAGGCAACGTCGTCAGAGAGCTGCTTGTTAAACATCACCAGCACACCTCTGCTTGGAGCCTTTTGCTGTGGGAACTCTGTGTGAAGTAGGGAGTAATTAGAAATTCCCATGAGCCAAATAAGGCCTGGGAAAAGACTAAGACCGTATTGTCCAATACAGTAGCCACTAGCCACCTGCGGATACTTAAGTGTATTTAAACTCAAATAAATTAAATACCATTAAAACTTCAGTTCCTCGGTTGCACTAGCCACATTTCAAGTATTCCCTAGCCACGGGTGTCTGTTATTGGACAGCACAACTAGAAAAGATTTCCATCATCTCATAAAGTTCTATAGCAGAGTGCTGGCTAGAAACTAACTGCTTTACTGCACGCAAATCATTTAGCACAGTTAGTTGCTGTTTATTATTCTTGTTCCACAGCTATTGTCCGCTGTATAGTTTTTAAAAACTTAGGCCAGGCGCAGTGGCTCATGCCTGTAATCCCAGCACTTTGGGAGGCCAAGGCGGGCAGATCACAAGATCAGGAATTCGAGACCAACCTCGCCAACATAGTGAAACCCCGTCTCCACTAAAAATACAAAAATTCGCCAGGCATGGTGGCGCACACACTGGTTTAGAGTGGGGACCACATTTTTTTGGTGCCATATTACACATATGACCATGACTTTGTTACACCACTACAGGAGGAAGAATAGAAGAACAATCTAGAAAACCAAAAGAACAAGAACTTCTTGGTAAGAAGCCGAGAACAGACAACAGAAGTCATGAAGCCCAAGCGAAATCAAAGGTGCTAAATGCTCGCCCAGGAGACATCCCTTGTGCTCGCCTGGGTTTTGGAAGCTCTGAAGTCACATCACAGTACACGGGGCAGAGGCAACTTTGTCTCTACGCCAACTCAGTCCCATCAGAAAGCGAGTGCTACCCACTTCTAAATAGCAATTTCGTCATTGAAGAGAAAGGGCAAGACCACTAGAACTGTCCATCTTATTTTCATGTATATGTGTTCATTAAAGCATGAATGGTGTGGAACGCTCGCCACGCTATATGTAGTATAAAGAACAGTAGGTTTACATTCATGTCATTCCAACTTCCCAGTTCAGGAATCCCAAGGAAAGCCCTAGCACTAATGTAAATACACAACACACACACACCCTGTACCCGATGCAACTGGACATTGTCCGCGTGGTTCCTTTCCCAGCCACTTCTGACTGCTGATTCTCCCCTTCACGTTACCCAATGAACATCCTTCAAGAACTCTGGGCTGCTACCCAGAAATCGTTTTACCCTTGGCTCAATCCTCTAAGCTAACCCCCTTCTACTGAGCCTTCAGTCTTGAATTTCTAAAAAAACAGAGGCCATGGCAGAATAATCTTTGGGTAACTTCAAAACGGGGCAGCCAAACCCATGAGGCAATGTCAGGAACAGAAGGATAAATGAGGTCCCAGGCAGAGAATCATACTTATCAAGGTTTTACCTGTGCATTACTAATAGGCCTCTTTAAGAGTTAGTTTCTTTGGGATTGCTATGAATGATACCCTGAATTTGGCCTGCACTAATCTGATGTTTACACGTGGACACACAACGTGCAAATCAATGAGTACGTTTCCTGAGAAGTGTCTAAGAACACCAAAAAGGGATCCGTATATTCAGTGTTTATGGAAGGAAGGAAAGAAAGAAGGAAGTGAAGAGGGAGAAGGGATGGAGGTCACACTAGTAGAATGTAACTGTGGAAAGGAGCACATCAGGCCGGGCACGGTGGCTCAGGCCTGTAACCCCAGCTACCTAGGAGACCAAGGTGGGAAGATCTCTTGAGGCCAGGAGTTTGAGACCAGCCTGGGCAGCATAGCAAGACCCATCCCTACAAAAAATTAAAAATTGGCTGGATGTAGTGGCATATGCCTGTAGTCCCAGACACTCAGGAGGCTGAGGCAGGAGGATTGCTTGAGCCCAGGAGTTCAAGGCTGCAGTCAGCCATGATGGCACCACTGCACTCCAGCCTGGGCAACACAGCAAGACCCTGTCTTTAAGGAAAAAAAGAAAAGAAAAGCATACCAGCAGTCCTCAAACATTAACCAAAATCTTCAGCATATCAGAACCACCTGGAGGCCTTGTTAAAGCAGTTCGCTGGGCCCGTCTCCAGAGTTTCTGAGTTGTCAGTCTGGAATAGAGCCAAAGGTTTTGCATTTGTAACAATTCCCAGGTGCTGTTGCTGCTACTACTATTCCAAGGAACACACTTTGAGAA